GACCGTATCATTCTTGTCTTCGTGCGAAACTGAGTCGGTTACCTTTTCCTCTTAGTACTATTCGCACATCGAGTTGTTTTGAACTAATCCATGTCGACATTTGGGGTGGTTATCACACTGCTTCGCTTAGTGGAGCACATTATTTTCTGACAATTATCGATGATTTCAGTCATGGTGTTTGGGTGTATCTTTTGAAGTTCAAGTCTGATATTTCTCGCTATCTCACCATGTTTTGTGAAATGGCTGCTACATAGTTTGGTAAGAAAGTCCAACGTATTCAGGAGACAATGGTTTGAAATTTCGTACCTCTTCTCCGCGTGACTACTATGAACACTCGGGCATCGTTCTACAAACCAGTTGTACTGATACTCGACAACAGAACGGAGTAGTAGAGAATAAACATCAGCATTTTTTGGATACAGCTTGGGCACTTCGTTTTCACGTAGGCCTCCCTGTCCATTTTTGGAGAGAATGCATTCTGACTGCCGTCTATTTGTTCAACCGATTACGTATTGATGCAACCGAGAAAACTCCCTATGAAGTGTTGTTCAATAAACCCGCTCTCTATTCCCATCTTTGAGTATTCGGGTGCCTCGTTTATTGCAAGGACAATCATGGGAGTTTGCACAAGTTCGCCGACCGGGGGCGTGTAGGCGTCTTCTTGGGGTATGCATCTTTGCAAAAGGGGTATAAGGTGTATGACTTATTAAGTCGCAAATTTCAGGTGTCTCGCGACGTCCTCTTCCATGAAACACACTTCCCATTCCGATCTCAAGATCCCCAGGAATTTCATTGGGTTCCTCTGTCACTCCTTGAAGACGCACGTGAAGTTGCTGATACTAGTCCTATCTCGCATCCCCTTCAGTCTGATGAGTTGGCCTCTTCGCCTGCTGCGGGTTATCCTTCTCTGTCTTCCCCGCAGTCAACCTCTCCTCCTAAGCCACAGGAGCCTACATTGTATCACACTACGCCAGACTCCTCCCAGTCTGACTCTCCGTCGTCCCCTGGTCTCTCTTTGCTGGACTCGTCCCAGTCCGACTCTCTGTCCTCCGCAAGTCCGTCCTCCCCACTCCGGAATCTTCTCTCGCAGCAGCGGAACCCCCTGTCCTTCACCGCAGTCTCCGCGAGCGTCGACCTCCCAAGGATCTTGATATTTATGAGACTGACCTGGAGTTTGCAGCCCAAGTACAGTATTCCATTTCTCACTACGTCTCATATGCTCATCTCAGTCCTAACCATCGGGCGTTTCTGGCCAAGATTACTGTTGAGGTAGAGCCTCGTACCTTTGCTCAAGCAGTTCGTCACGCCCATTGGTGCGTCGCGATGACCAAAGAGATCGAAACTCTTATTGATAATCACACTTGGAGTTTGGTTGAACCCCCTCCCGGTGCTCATATTATTGATGCAAAATGGGTCTTTAAGATCAAGTATCGTCCGGATGGGAGCATTGAGCGTTAAAAAGCTCGGGTGGTCGCTTAAGGTTTCATGCAGATTGAGGGAGTTGACTATCATGACACATTTGCTCCTGTCGCCAAACTTGTCACTGTTCGCTGTCTCATTGTTGTTGCAGCCAACCGTGGGTGGCATCTCCATCAACTCGACGTCAATAACGCATTTCTTCACGGTGGTCTCCAGGAAGAAGTCTATATGAGCATCCCTCCTGGTATTTCTGCTCCAGGTGATCGTCGAGTATGTCGCCTCCACAAGTCCATCTATGGCCTGAAGCAAGCTTCTCGGAACTGGTACCAGAAGTTTACGGCATCCCTGTGTGAGATTAGTTTTCGCGCCTCCCCTTCCGACCATTCTCTCTTCATCTATCGTCAAGGTGCACTGTTTGTCGTGGCTCTTATCTATGTTGACGTTGTCATTGTTGCGGGTACAGATCTTAACTTCATTATTCATGTCAAGAAATTCCTCGATCAGCGGTTCAACATCAAGGATCTGGGTTCGTTGAAGTATTTTCTGGGTCTCGAAGTTGCTAGATCTCCTCGCGGTATTGTCCTTAGTCACCGTAAGTATGTGTTTGATATTTTGAATGAAGCAGGCGTCCTCGGTGCTCGTCCCAACACTTTTCCTGTGGAGCAGAATCATCAACTCGCTAAGCCTGACTCCAGTCCTCTGATTGATGGTTCTTCCTATCGTCGTCTGGTAGGGCGTCTACTCTACCTAACTGTCTCCCGACCGGATATAACCTATGGTGTCAACATTCTCAATCGCTTTGTCCATGCTCCTACCTAGGCTCACATGGATGCAGCCACTCGTATTCTTCGTTACCTGAAGATGTCTCCTGAACAGGGCCTCTACTTCCCTACTGACAACTCACTTGAATTGGTTGCTTATTGTGATGCCGATTGGGGCGGGTGTTAGACGACCCGTCGGTCTATCTCTGGTTCTTCATTTATTTGGGGTCTTCTCCTGTCTCTTGGCGCACTAAACAGTAGAAGGTAGTAGCCCGTTCGTCCGCTGAAGCCGAGTACTGTCAGTGAACTCATTTGGCTTCGCTGGTTGTTAACTGAGTTGTGTGTTCCGCAATGGCGTCCCACTCCCCTCTACTGTGACAATCAAGTTGCCCTCCATATTGCTGTTAATCCTGTTTTCCATGAGCGTACGAAGCACGTCGAGATGGATTGTTACTTCATTCAGGAACGTGTTGTTTCTCGAGATATTCTTTCTCTCAAGGTCAACTCTCACCTTCAGGTTGCAGACTTGTTCACCAAAGGATTGGGTGCAGATCATTCTCGCTTTCTTCTGTCCAAGCTGAACGTTCGCGATCTTCACGGTTCAGTTTGCGGGGGCGTATTGGATGGAGCTGATGTCGTAGGCCGAGAAGAGTCCCATCCACAAGCCCACATGGCCATGCACACGTACCAGCAGCAGCTCTCGGCCTCTCCTTGGTGGAAAAGAAAACCTAGTCCTAGTGGAGTTTGCTGCCGCAAGGTGTTATCACAAGTTAATCAATAAAAGTGAAAGCCGGAGAGACCCGTCTCTCCCGTGGATTAGTCTCAATGAATCAAGTTGGGGATACCACATAAAATCGGGGTTTTTTTCAGAAATAACATTGTTTAAAAAAATTTAACAAAAATAGCACCCAGTCCCGAAAAATTCCAAAAATAACATCCTTTCTCGAAAACGGCCACACCACCCCGTGGTTTACACGAAAACCGCTAGGTAGGGGCGCGGTTTTCGATGAAACCCGCATGGTTACGAGGCGATTTTGAAAAATGCTCAGGGTAGGGGCGGTTTGGTCCAAAACTGCTGCCCAGCCCTACGGTTTGGTTCAATTTTTTTTTCCCGAAAAATCCTAACCTAGGTGGAAATTTCAAACGAAAGTATCTTTGTGTTTTGGTTTCCGATCGTCGCGATTTTTTTTATTTCGCGTAACTTTTCGAAAAAGGGTGCCATTTTTGGAATTTTTCGGGATTGGGTGCTATTTTTGAAAAAAAAAAATTAAGCAGTGCTATTATGGAAAAAGTCCTTAAAATCGTGTATCTTGTTCTACTTCCGCACTAGATTTATTATTACGACTAATAAAGATAATATTCAACTCAATATATATTGGAACAAAATAAATTAGACCAATTTTACTATGCTTTAAAGTATAACTTCAAGTTTTACTATAATATTAAAGGTACAAATTGAACTTGTACCATAAGAGAATTTTACAATTCAAGTTGTACCATAACATAAAGTACAACTTTAGTTTGTACTATAAATGAATTTTACAAAAAGGTGTAGGTACAATATAAAGTTGTATCATAACGTTAAAGGCAAAAACTAAAACACCAATATTTTAAAGTAGGGGTGGAGGTTTGGTTATTGGTTAACCGGTTAATTGATAGCCGAGATAACATAAATTTAGTCGGTGTTCGGAGGCTGGCCGAGATGGTTTTGGTCTTGGAGGTGGTTTGGTTAACCGAAAACCGAGATAACCAAAGTCTAAATCCCTATTTCGGTCGGTTGTCGGTAAGGGGGCCGGCAGTTCGATTAGCCGATAACCAACTGATCGGTTACCAATTATAACCGAACTAACCAAAACTCCACCCTACTGTAAAGCATAGTAAAATTCCTCAATGTCCTTTCACGTCACGTGCTTTTCCTTTTCATTATGCTAGGTAAGACAATCTATAGCAGCACATAAATTACATTATAGTGGTAGCATGATGGTAATTAAAAAATAATAATAACGCCATAAAAAATTGATAACAATAACTTGTAGTATCATATCATTATAGTTATAGCCGTAATATATTTTACAATTACAAGTTAATGACTACAAGTCTATAACAACAAAATTTACGTGCAAGTGCCGGCTTATTATGATCCTATTCCTAGGATTTTATCCTATATCATGTTACAACGTTCTTTATGAAGGTATTTCTAAGTTGCATGCAAACAGACTTTCTTGTATATGCTCTCCTGTGTGATAAAATTATCTCAAATCCCAATATGTGCTTTACTCAGCGATTTTGTGATATTCTCTGATGGATACATATGTTAGAGCTACGGCAAGCATTAATAGAGTGTTAGCATAGTTTTCCAAGTTGTTATGCCTCAATTTAATCCCTCAACAGTGCTAGCTGAGGTATATCATATTCATATGAAACAAAAGTGTGTATCTTTCAGTATTCTGGTTTTCCTTTCGCGTGCTTCATGTCCGCTATTTTGGAGTGCCTCCTATTTCGAGTTAGTTCTACTCTAAAGATTGCCGCGTTTTGATGGACAGAATCACAATCAGGGTAAGGGGTTGGACTCTCCCTATCACAGTTACCGCCTTACCGGTTCCTGGATATCAAAGAAGGTGCTGAAGGGTCGAGCTGAAGCAGCTGTTCTCGTGTCTGGAAGTGGTTCTACCCTCTGCTGGAATGGTAAGAAAATGCCTAAGTTTGCTATTGGAACTAGTATGGATTCAAAACGAGTTCATAAGCCTGGGCGAATCTCATGAATGGTTAAACACATGAAAGGAGAAAGCAAATCCGATCAGACAGAAGCCTCACTAACTCTTACGGATCAGCAGATGGGTTAGTTAACAGCTCAAGGGCCTTCTTCAGGTGTTCCACGACCACAGGCACATCAGATGCATCGACTGCATATCTCGCCGCTTTTCTTGCCTCTGCAATTTTCTCAGGTGGAGGCTGGTAGCTACTGTCCTGCTGGTACGTTGCTGCTGCAGCGGCAGAAGTTGGGATGGATGCATCCGCCGAGCTCATCCTGCTGCTGTCGCTTGAACTACGCAGCGCTGGTGGAGGATGATAGCCTGCAGCAGGTGTCGGAGCAGACTGAGAACTGTACGTGGTGGAATCAGACCCTTGTTGTTGGTAATAAGATGGATGATGGGATGGCACGGAAGGGAGGCTGGTGTCTGCGAAACTTGGATATGACTGGAAGTTTGTGTAAGAGTAGGAAATTATCATGCGATGATGGGTAATTCTGCTGCATATGGTGGTGTGGCTGGGAATAGGTGGGTTTCTCTGATGGATAGAATTCTTGTGAATACCCAGCAGCACCAGTATAAGGTGGAGGTGGAGGTGGAGGCGAAGGCAAGATGTTTCCGCCAGAATGTTGGCTGTCGAACGAGTCATATGACTGGTGAGGATGAGATTGAGCCCGTGCGGAATGCTCCCTGCCCACTGAACCATATGACTGAGGTGGTGATTGTGGCATTAAGTGTGAAGGATGCTGTTGGTGGTTAGCCTGATCATGGAACAGAGATGATTGCGGGACGTCTGCTGAATGGCAACTGCCACCTTGATCGTGGAATTGGGACGATGGATCGGACTCTGATGATTGCATTGTGGTGGCCGAAGTTTCCACTTGTCCAACATCCTGAAAATTCAACATTAGGGCGCAACAGAATCAGATGTTATGTCATTTCCACGACTAGGTGGAGGCCAGACCTACACCTTTCCATTTTTTCCCCCTCTTCTTTCAGAACTTTGAAATCAGAGTGGAGAAGAAGCTGGATTGAACTGTAACTTACATGCCCATTGGTAAATCCACTAGATGGAACCGCTAGATCTTCATCATCTACAGGAGGGCCTGGCTTGGGCGTCCTTCCCTCTTTCAATGCCTTCCTTATGTCTGCAGCCTTCCAAACTGCATACTTCTGCTTCTGTTCAAGCTGCAAAGTGAGAAAGAAGCATAAGGATCTAGCAGAGGTTTCCTGTAATAATAAAATAAACTAAAAGAAGTAACATAAGGATTGTAGGGAACTTTGAATTGCAAAAACTCACTTCAGCTTGCAGAGGCCCAAACTGATTAATAATCTCAGAGAAAATGCTCGCTGCATAAAATGTCTTGGCTGTGTTCCTATATAAAGACAAGAATTTCAGATATATCAAGGACCATTCAACTGTAGGGTTATACCAATAGAGAACTTAATTCAATTGAACCTCAATCTATCTCAGTCAATCATTCATTGAGCAGTGAAGGGTTTCAGAATTACATTTCGATTCTTAAGCAGCATAGTAAAGTGAATACAAATAGCAACAAAACAAAACATAACATGGATTAGCTCTGTGCTGAACAATGACCAAGGATACAGAGATAGAGAGAAGCTTATCCGCCGGCAGAACTAATCCCTAAACTATAAGAAAACCATAGAACCAAAAAGCAAAGACTTGCACATGACTTGTTATATTCTTAAAGCAATTGATATTGTGAAATTCTAATTCTAAAGCATGCATCTTCAAGAAAGCTGTCAAGACTTAGCACTCAGCGCATCAAAGGACATGAGCATTGCATGCTAAGCTAGGCGGTTTCATGTACATATACGATAACTCTATTTACCTGACTACATATAAGTTACACAGCTAAGAATCTCAGGCTTGTAAAGACCTCTTGTCATCCTTCATATTCTAAGGAGTTAAGAGCCAAGTAAGCGCATCCCCGTCATTCTATCAGACCAGAAATACAGTTAAAAATCAAGCAAAAGCATCATCCATGTGTCCCATCCAAAAAAAGAAGTCAATAGGAAGTAAAACATTTGCCATACAAGTCAGCTCGTCCAGCACGATCTTGTTTATCAGCCTTAGAAAATAAATTTTGGGCGAATCCCTCCAAAAAATAGTTATCTTCAGGTCCTAACTTCACCGCCTTCTTGTCCTGTCAAATGCCGCACATGAGGAGAGTTGTATTTAACCCTTTATCAAGCAAATCATCATAGCATCAATAGCAGGAAAGGATATTCGAGACTCAATAATGCAGAATGGTGGAAGCAAATCTCCAGTAAGACTTTCACATTACTTCAAAATTCCAAGATTTGAGCATAAGCTCCAACAATGGTGTAACATCAAAGCCAAATCTACCACAAGCCTTTCAAACTACTTCAGAATTAAGATACGAGCATAAGTTTCAACAATTGTATAACATGGTCTAGATACGTGATACACAAAAATTGTATAGGAAACCATGAAAATTGTGGGGATGATACATGCAGCCTACAAAACTAGCCTAGTTGATGCTTGAAAGCGGATCTTCAACTTCACACATGAAGATCAGGCAACTGAACCACTGCATAGAAAGTTCTAAATCCAACCCACGAAGAAAAAATAACAGGAATCAATCATCAAGGAGACAAGGACTAGTTTAAAGATAAGGAGCTAGACAAAGCAACCTTCTCGAGCTGATTCATGAGGGAAACGAGGAGAGCATTGGTGGTCTTAGTGCGATCCTTCTGAGGAATCCTCAGCCCCCTCTCGATAGCATATAATCGGCCTAATCACTAGAACAGGGTCTATTAACAGGAAAGGAACTTACAAACTTAGGGTTAAAGCAAAGTAGAAACAGAACGGTCCGCTTACAGTAGTAAGCGACGAGGGGTTCGTGCTTTTGCAACTCATCGGCTCGTTGCAGGTACGGCAGCAGAAGCTTGGCTGGTTCGTAATCGCTCGCCGCCATCGCCTGGATTTGCTTCGATCAATTTGCCGCTTCTCGCTACTTCAAAATTTCGAAGAAACAGAGAGATGGCACAGAACTGAAACGAGACTGGCGAGTGGCGAGATGGTTCACCTTTTGGTCCTGCATTACTCGGATCAAACCAAAATAGCTAATTACAATATGGTACCTGGAAATTTTGTTGTTTAAAACTTACCTTGAATTTTGATTCAATGGGCAAGTTGGAGAGAACATTAGTTGCTAGGAAAGTAACAGTGCAAAGGGATTCAGGCAGAAGAGATCCTCAACATATGATTTGCAGCAGACTAAAAGAAAAACTCCAAACCGGCAAAAATACACAAGACCAGGGGGGCAGACAGCTACTACATTCTTAAACACTCCGGTTTCTCATGTCTCCTTCACATCTATACCACTACAACAACGAACTACAACTAGTACTAATAACAACATTAATGTTGTGCAAATGGTATAAAGCCTACATCTTTCGCTCTCGTTCTTCGTTTCAATCTTCAGCTCCACTATGGTGAAGCGGGAACCGGTTCAGTACCAGAGACCTGGGAGGCAGCATCCTCCTTCGATATAGCAACGTAATTAGTAGGAGCAGAAAGCCTCGCCTCCCTTCTCTCTTTACTTGCCGATCTGCTGCCATTCTGAGGAGTGTTCAAAGACAGACGCCTGTTCGGAGTTCCATTATTCGAGCCTCCTCCATTTGCTCTCGGTCCAACCACCTTCTTGGGACCAGCCGGTCGGGCTGGACTAGGCCTCGAACCGAAGATGGCTTCTTGCTCTGTGTTTTGCAGCTCATGATGCTTCTTCTGATCCTGTCACGCAAAAAGGTTATATACATATTGTCCTTCTGGAAGAGGAATAGATGTGTCAGGCACTTGATCAGGCAGTGAGGATAGGTAGGAAGGGAACTCACTCTCATCCTCCGCTTCTCCTCTTCCCTTTCCTGCCTAAGCATGGCGTATTCATCAAGCATGGCAAGTAGAGGAACGCCATCATATGTAAATTGCAAGCCCCGTTCCTCTTCCCATGCCCGAGTTTTGGCAACCAAGGTATCAACTAGGGCTACATGATTGAGAAACAAGATTAAAGCCAAAAATGCACTTCATTCACATGCCATCTTACAAAAGGTGAACCATCTGCAGCTATTCTTGACATAAGATAACTATGTAACGGTTTACCCACTCCAAAGATACCTGGAATTTTGTTGACCAGAATTCTGGCTTTTTCTGCTCGCTTGAGATTCAAATGTGCACCTCTACTTGCATTATACCTGTTATCATCCTGTGGCATTGAGATTGCAACGGTTAGTACAGAACTTACAAGTAAATGAATTCAGGAACGAGATCGTATTGGCTTAGAAAAAGAGAAGCAGATAGTGATGTCTTCCTTGTAGCAATGATCAGGAATAAAATTGTTAGTTCTATATGGAGAGATGCAGTGAGTACCCACCCGATTGTAGTCTTCCAGCCAGCTTTCTTCTTCACATGCAGACATCCATTTCTCCACCTTGTCCAGAATGTCCTTTCTGCTAAGAGCTTCATCTTTGGCCTTTGATATTTGACTATCCATGTCGGCTAGTAACTCAGCAGGCTCTACATTCCCAGAATCTATCAATGCCATGATTTTTTCCCGAGCGGACTCTGGATCAATCTCTACATGAGCATGGGCAAATATCTCTTCAAGTTCTGATTGCTTTTTGAAGGCTATTTCTTTCATCCTGCTGGATTTTAGCTGATCAAGCCTTTCAACTTCAACTTCAGCCTTCAAAAGCGTAAGGAAAATGAGTTAGTCCCAAAAAAATAAGGATTGCATGTTCAATGTTTTCCTTTACCCCCTTTTAAGATGAGGAAAACACCATACCTGCTCAATGAGATCTAGGGCAAGAGAACCAGGCACATAAACTTCATCAACTGAAGACGATATGTTGCACGTAACATGGTCAAACAATTTCCTTTCATCATCCGGAGTGTCCATCAGGTTCCACAGATCAATCAATTGAGTCGCTAGCTCTTGAAGCTATGATGAGCAAAAGACTTGAATTAGATAGATTTCGAGGATAGCAGGAAAGAGAGCATTATTGAAGCATATTCACCATGATAGTGCCACTTATAGTTCTTGAAGCATAGACAATGGCTGGACTCAAATGAATATGGATCAAAAGATCAAGAATTAGAAAGCAAGATGGACAACTATTTACCTTGTGGAGCCTCTGTTTCTTATCTTCCTTCAGCTCCAGGACTGTTCTAGCCAACCTTGCCAATGTATCATTGCTAATGCTTTTGGATTGAACACCAGTAGATTCGTTCAAGCTGGGATGAACATCAGTTACAGTGCTAAAGAAGTCCAAACCAAGGACAGCACATAGATCATGTACACTGCTCACAAATTCAAGCACCTTGTGCAGTCTCTCACTCTATCATTTAAAAGAGGCGATTAGAACTTACCCCAAAATGCACTTACACAGTTGGAAATAAGAACAATCTGATGTTGACATCAGGATGAAAAGTTGTACCGTACCTTCTCCTTCTGAAGTTCCTGAAGGTGAGCATTGTACTCATCCAACTTCTTCAAGGAAAGATCAGATTCATCAACCACAGGAGTCTCATTAGTGCTCAAGCTCCCAGAAATTTCACCACAAATCTTTTGTATCTGTGATTGCACATCGGAGAATTCCCTCACTCTCTCTTCTTTCTGTTTCCACAACTGTTCAAGAGCTGGTGCTATAGCTTCAAGTTGCTCCTTGATTGTTCCAGAAGTCTTCTCAGGCTGATAGTAGTATTATCATGCAAAAGACAATTATGAGAACCCCAGATTTCAGAGTACCCAGCAGAAGATGCCCCGTTCTATTAAAATATGTACAGACATAAGAAAAAAACTAGGTACTGTGTAATGTAATGTGTACTCACAGTTCCAACAGAACTTTTATCCCCAAGGGCAGATAAGAGAGTTGAAAGCTCTATTTTGGCATCTGACAGAGCTTGTAGAAGCTGAGCCCTTGACATTGCTGCCAGTTCAACTTTCTTCTTGTAAACATCCAAGCACTCTTGTTCTATTTGGAGAAGCATCTTATCCCTCTCCTCATCGCTTTCACCAACTTCATCCCAAATTTCCTACAGCACATCAAAGCTTGCAGGGTTAAGCTACGGTACACAGCATATGAAGTCAAATGAAATTACCAAACATAAGAGCTCAAAACACAGTTTTTTTAATTCATAAACCTGAAGCTTCTGCAGCAAAGTACTGCAGGTCATTTCTGCAACTAAAGGATTCTGGGTGTCTGTGACTGCCATTCACCTCAAGTCCAAGAACCTACAAAGCATTGCCAAACGTCTTCAGTACATATCATACTAAAATCTCAGTGTGATAAAGCAAAGCCGTAAACAGGAAGTGAAAGACAAACCAAGGAAGATACATGGAAGCCAAGAAAATCAAAACAGTTAATCAAACTAGGTTAAGGAGCATTTGCAGATAATTAATCGTTATAAGAAGAATCTGATCATCCAGTTACAACCAAGCCTTAGAATTGCAACATGTACTAATCTTGGGAAAACCTATGGCTACAAGCTACGTTATAAGGAGAATCTGATCATCACTATTGACAAAAGCTGCTAATGATGTCACTTTCAGCATTAAGTTATTGCAATAAGCAAACCAATGTATGCATCACCATGATTCATAACATAGCACCATATCCTAAAATTATGCCCCAGAGACGAGTGTAATCGAATAGCAGACAGATTCTATATGAGATGAAATGCTTGTGAAACAGTGGCAAGTTAAATGAAATCAAGCAAGCAACCAACAGGAAAATTCCAAAAACGGGTTGTCAAGAGCCTAATGAAGACAACTACACTACAAAGGAAAGTACTAATACTACTAATTCACTTCACTAAATTGCCTCCATCCGGAATAGCATTAACAAACTCATGGCCTTAGTTCATCAGCAACTAACCCCATATCTTTAAATCAATGAACCGCAACAAGAACTACACCATAAGTCATCCCATTCCCAAAACACCATAAAAGTGCTCAACGTCTGATTAAAAAACGGAACCCATCGTACAAGCTAAACCAGAGGGATCAAGTCACCCAAGATCACAAACAAGCCACAATTCACTTTCCCCGCAGTGGAGTACCATCAAAGCAAGCAAGCAAGCAACCCACAACCCACAAAACTGAAATGCACAGAAATTCTTCATCCACAGCAATAACAACCACTGCATTTCACCAAGTCAACCTCGACCCAGAGCTCCAGAGCCCAACCCAGATCTCCCCCGAGCTCCAAACCCCAAGAAAATGAACAAAGCAAACCCACATTGGGTACCACAAGCAAGAAAGTCTGGAAAGAAGAAGCAGCAGCAGTCGTTGCTTACCCGGATCGTCCTCTGTGGTAGGGTTACAGTGGGGGAAGGTGGTTACGCTTCAGATCTAAAGCTCACACTCCGCTTCTTTCCTTCTTCTTCTTCTCCACCTTCCTCGTCTTCCTTTTTTGGTCACACTCAAACACAGTCTCTATCTCTCTCTACAGTCTCAATGTTCGTGAAGCAGCAGGGGAAAAGGTGGGAGTAGAGGGTACAGCTGAGAATTAATAATAGAAGAAGCGACCAAGCAGGCAGCAGCAAATGCTAAACAAAAGGGAAAAGGACAAATGCTGCTGTGAGAAGAAGGGGGGAAAAAAAGAGAGAGAAAGAAAAGATTGGGGATGGGTTGCGTGGGGACCACTTCACATATCTACAAATCTTTTGTTTGTCTACGTGAGAGAAAGAGAGAGAAATCTTGGTGACCGGGAAAATGCCCTGGGGTTTAAGGGCTATTTACGAACGTGACACTGTCACTGTTTTGTTTTTGGGTAGGACTGAGAAGGGGGAGAGGATGGGTTTCCAATTTTGCCCCCGTTTTGTTTGTGTTTAGAGAGTGCCAGAGTGGAGTCTCGTTCTTCTTCTGTCTTGACTGTGGCTCGTCTTGTAACGGGCCCACGGCCCATCAATTACGGTCCGTCGTCCATCATGCATAATAATTTACGAATAATTTTGGTGAGATGGATGGATTATTGGATTTCTTTGACATATTCTACCGCCGATGATACATTTGTGGATTACTCTTGTTCTGTCTTTATTTTTTGTCTTTCCCTCACTCTAATGTGGTTCTTCAACTGGTTTTCAAGAAAGTCAATTCGACAGTTGGTGTTGAGTATGGATCCTATGAATGTTGATCATTTGCAGATGAGGATGTTGATATAGGTCAGGTGCAAGAGCAAATCAGTTTTGGTGGGGTACTTGTTCACGAGGCTGTCTGTGGCTTATGCCACTTCATTCATTGTGATTGATGATCATGTTAGGGAGAGAATTGTTCATATATGTGTTTAATCAAGAATGATATTTAGTATCAGTTGAGTGACCAATTTATGAATATTTTTTTTAGTTATTTATATAAAAAAAATTGATTTGCTACCTAATGTACAAAATATAATTAAAAAAATGTAGAATATGAAAATTCATCTTGGATCACTGCAAACATAATGAAATTGGTGAACTTTATGAATAAAATATTTATTTTTATATTTAATTACTTAATTATTTCATTTTTATTTTTAAGTTATTTTTTGGGCCGACACACATATCCCAAAATCCTGGGTTCGTCATCCATAGCTCTGCTATTTGAATCTGGGTCGACGGCCCACTTATATGGGGGAGCTGATGTCCGTGAAATCGATTTATTGTTGATCCCTCTGACCAGAGTGAGGTCTTCATTACGACAAAGGTATTCATCGATGCTAAGGCTCCTCTTCGTTCAAGGATGTTTGAGAAAAATGAAAATCGAGTAGGTTTCTGGTCGCGTTTGGGCTATGAATACCTACCACTATTCAACTTTTCTTGTCGTCGCGTGGGCACGTCCAGGGTCTGAAAGTTACAATGCTTCCATCTATGTGGTTCCTTACAACATTCTTCTTAGTAAACATACTTATGTTGCCGATTGGACAAAATTCGTATCCCTACTTGATGGTCTAATCGGGCGAGAAGTTACGGGACTGGGTTCGTGGCTCTCACTCTCACACGAACCCTGTAAGTGTTTCAAATATAGAACGTTTCTTCTCCACCGGTGGGGTATTGCCTTCCGCTATAGTTGGTGGTTAAAGTTGTAGGCAGTAGCGCCCAGAGAAGGAGGGGAAAGGCGTGCCATCAAGAGCTTATCCAAAAGTTGTCCTACCACCTCTAGAATACTTCGAAAGCACGGAACGAGAACCCCACGTACTTGCTCCAAGTCAATCCAAGATTGTCAGTTGTGGCAAAATTGGCAGAAGAAGAGGAATGATTGTTCTCATGTCTCAAGTCAGTCTATTCCACCCCTGGATCATCCCCCACCACCGCCAAGTAATAGGATGATTTCCCTAAATACAGTAAAAATTAAAAGTAATTCCCATAATACATCACTTTTATAAATATTTCCCAAACTACCAAAGTTTGAACCGGTTCGATTTTAATAAACTCGAACTAGTTCCAGATCGATTGCCAAGGGATCGATCCATGTGCATCGAGCGAAACAGCCACGATTGGCTGGCACAAGACGACGCGGATCGAGTTTATTAAACTTGATTTACATGGATCGAGTACAGAGGACTCGAACTAGGTGACATGGATCGATGGCATAGGCAGCGCTCCACCCTATATCGATGTACAGAGGATCGATCTCCACCGTTTGATGGCCACATCCGCGATGAAGTGGTGACGCGGATCGAGTGGGGGGAACTCGATGCATGTTGACCGAGCGCTTGGGAATCTATCTACTTGACGTGGATCGATGACGTCAGACTCGCTCTGCCGTAGATCGATTTCTCAAAACTCGATCTGGGTCGTTCGATCTACCATCACTCGAGCTCTTTTTGACGCGGATCGAAGGCTACAAAATCGATGCCGTGGTTCGAGTCTCCTAAACTCGATCCACCTCCTCCCACTGCACCTATAAATACCCCCTTCCATTCCACCAAATCTCACACCAATCCATTCTTCTTCCTCTCTTCCTCCCACCACTCTTGAAGAAAAAAATATGCTTTGTGGTTGCGGCTAAGCCCGATCTTCCGCATCATATTTTTTTCTTTAGTTTGGTACTTCTATCACTCAAAATTGCCGAGATGGATCCGAGTATTTACGATCCTAGATTATACATTCAAGGCGAGAAACCGATTTATTGGATGAGCAACCTTACCATCGGTCTGAAAGTGTTTGGGCGGCAGATCCGGTAAGCACTTCCTCATGTACTTTTCTTTTTGAAATGTGATAGTATTCTTCTAATTTTTTTTTTTTTGTACAATAATTAATGTTTTTTTCTACAGGAACAACTTGACGTAATCACCCATCGGTCGCTATCTCGCTTGCCTAAATGGGATGATCGTATCGAGCCCTTCATTGAAAGAGCGTGATTGTTGAGGGTGCGAAAGTTTGTGGGGATAGAGATGGACAACAACCTTCTTACGGTAATGGTGGAAAGATGGAGAAAAGAAACGCACACATTCCACCTTCTAGAGGGAGAGATGACGATTACCTTGAAGGACGTAGCCATGCTGACAGAGCTTCCAATCGATGGTGATGCAATAATAGAAAGTTCACAAAAACCATTGAATGGTTGGGGCCAATTTATAAGCGAGCGTTTAGGTATCAACATCCCCGAGGAAGCAGCAGAAGGTCGTCGTGTACCAGCTCTACACAATTCTATGTTATTGATACCTTGGCTAATGAGGACCGTTGGAGAATTACCGGAGGATGCCACGGATGATCAGATAGAGAGGTATGCTCGCATCTACCTGATTTGTTTGGTTGGAGGATTTTTGTTTCCGAACAAGTCTGGTGGAAATATGCATTGTATCTGTATGTGGCTTCGAGTTCTTTTGGAAGATTGGGACGAGATTGGGAGAAAAAGTTGGGAATCTGCTTGTTTGGCGATGATATATTCGGAGTTGTGCAAGTGTACGGATCCGAAAACAAAGCAAGCGGGTGGTCCCATGTTCATCCTCCAACTATGAGTTTGGGAGCACCTTCCTACTTTCGCTCCGATCTGCCCTGTCAACAGTTGGGGTCTCGATGAGCCACTACGACAATGGGCTTATGGTGCTAGATGGATTGGAGCTATCATGAGACTCACCTCTCTAGACGGGTACCGCCAACATCTTGACGGTATAGAATTCAACGAGGTAACATTCTAGCTTATGATTATGAATGCTAATTTATTTGTTGAAATTATTTGTCTTAGCCCATGATTTATTTTTATGATTATGAATCCTATTTTATTTGTTGAAATTATTTGTTTTAGCCCATGATTTATTTTTATGATTATGAATGCTAATTTATTTGTTGAAATTATTTGTCTTAGTCTTAGCCTATGATTTATTTTTATGATTACGAATTCTATTTTATTTGTTGCAATTATTTGTCTTAGCCCATGATTTATTTTTATGATTACTAATTTTATTTTATTTGTTGAAATTATTTTTCTTAGCCCATGATTTATTTCTATAATTATGAATCCTAATTTATTTGTTGAAATTATTTGCTTCGATTTTAATTTATATGTTGTGTTGAAACTTAGGTGGAGTGGGATCCATTTCCGAACGGAGCAAAGGATTTGTACGAGTTGCGATACCCTGAGGATCGTCGACTCTGGTTATGCAAGTTGCCTGTGATTTGCCACAACATTGTCGAGTGGCACCTCCCGGATAGATATGTCCGACAATATAATTGGGTGCAACCGATTCCTCTCCCACCACCGGACGTACATAAGTCACTCCACAAGTACAGCAAGGATTTGCGGGGTACAATCAGTGATTGGCCAACCAAGCACCATAGATGGATTGAAATGTGGGAGTCTCGTCAGACATATGCAATTGATGGGATCCCAATGACGAGGCCAATGGGGTACCAAGATGAATACATGGTTTGGTACCGCAAGTTCACAAAAAGATGGTTAACCAAACGTGGCGCCGTGATCGGTTCGTTGGTAAGCACAATATCTATTTACTATAATCATTTTAGCTACACAAAGAGTGTTTGACTAACATGTTTATTATTTAGGTTGATGGGTTGGAACTTGCATCAATGACGTTGGAGAGTGAACCAGAACAAAATGTGTCACCTGAGAAAATTTCATTCTTGAAGAAGCTCTTCAAGAATCTCTTGTCATGTTCGCGGGAAATCCGAAGGGATGTCATTGCATATCCTCCTACACCTGCACCGCCACGTCATTCCTCCCACGCCATTGAAGTTGAATCCCTCCCGCCATCACCACCAAGGAGGAGTAAACGTCGGCAAGAGCCAGTTATAGTCCATGTGCAAGTACGAGAAGATGTGGCACTTCCTGACCCATACGAGTATGGATTCCCTCCCGTCAGAAGGGAATTCGGAGAGGGATCATCAGGTCCTGCTCAAGGAGGGGGAGGAGGAGCCAACTATGCTTCATCATATGGTCCTCAATTCCAAACCCCGCAGTAAAGCTTCCAGCCTCCGATGACAAATGTTTATTATGGTCCTCCAGCCACTGCAACCCCACCTCCATTGCCACGAAATATTGGAATTGGATATGGAGTTCGTTCAAGGAATAGACGTCGAAGAGAGGGACGCGGACGTGGTGCACAAGAGTGAGGTGTTCTT